GATATTCTGCCTCTCTCCTTCCATGTGGTGAGGAAATTAATTTCATATCAGGAAACTGTTACATAAGGAATAACTTGATTCGATCTGACAATCAATGTTTCACTGCGGTTCGTTACTGACACGTGTATGGGAGTCACCAGTGTCACGTCCTTGTGCCACGAACGTGTGTCGCGTTGTTTGTGTCACATGTTGTGTCTCGCCCTTGTCACGTTGTTGTATCGAAGTGTTGTGTCTCCTTCTTGTGTCAAGTCCTTGCGCCACGAAGCTGTGTTACAGTGTTGAGTTGGGGCGGTCGGGTAGCCTAGTGGTTAAAGCGTTCGCTCCTCACGCCGAAGACCTGGGTTCGAATCTCGACATGGGTACAATGTGTAAAGCCCATTTCTTGTGTCCCCCGCCGTGATATAGCTGGAAAGCGGCGTAAAACCATACTCACTCACTCAATGTTGTGTCACCTACTTGTGTCAAGTCCTTGCGCCACGAAGTTGTGTCACGCCCTTGTCACGTTGTATATCACATTGTTGTGACCGAGTGTCGTTCCAATATGAAAATGGTTCTTTTATTACAATACTGTAACCATGTACGCGGTTTTGAAAAATTAATTGTGATGGTGAGTCTTTTGTCTTTTTCCTGGACGGGCATTTATTGTAAGCAGACTGTTGACTTATTCTATCTCTGCATTGGTGTCCAACGTAATAAAGCGATTCCTTGGAATCAAACAGACTTGTATAAACTGTGCGGATATATCCCATCTGGGGCCTCATACCTTCCAATAAATCAAACGTTGAACATGTAGGGTCGACAGGAACATTCTGTTGACTTTTTTCACCAAGGTATGCGAGAAGATGACGTCATTTCCGGTTTCCCTGTAGGCCTGTGGTGTGCTGATGAGATATGTAGCATTGAGAACACTCTCTCCGCACCTACTGCCAACAGTTCCTCTCTGAGATTGGTGCCATGTAAATGCATCAGTTCCAGGAAGTGCTGCCAGCGGGCGCCAAACCTGGTCCAACTTCCGATGTGATCTTCTCTGTGGGAAAGAAACGTGCATCACTTTGCACGATCGAAATCCTGTTTCCGCATTCAAATCCTCTCACGTTTTATCGCTATGTTTTTGTTGATGACTTAGACGTATCTATTAGAGTGCCGGAGTCTCTTCTATAAATATTATAATACATCGTCTGTGTGAATACACTATTGTTTCTGAGACAGGTGAGCATTTACACAAGCTTTTCACTGGCTCGTATTCATCGTATGATAACCTTGTAACCCTTTTGATACGGTTTATCGTTTAAACTGAGGTGAGGTGAAATTAGGTTTAACGTGTGTGTGTGGCTGCTTGTACTAGTTTGGACTAGTTCACTGAGATACCATGCCGCAGTTTAACATGAATACCCCACTTAGACACAGTATACTTACTGCGAGGCGACCAGTCCTTGTTTAGCTCCTAATGCCGAGCGCCAGACAGGGTAACAACAAGTACCATCTTTTAACGACTTTTGGTGTGACGCGGCCGGGAATAGGACCCCGGACCTTCCGCTCTCCGGGCGGACGCTCTACCATTAGACCACGGAGCCTGTCGTATCGCATAAGACTGAATTTCTCGAAACTGCAATCTAAACTGACGGGCAAAAGAAACTATACCAACATTGATTTGGTGTTGACAACATTATCAAATATATCAAAAAAATAAACTGTTGCGAGTTGGAAAGAAAATTTATCTGACAATGTTCTGATTCAAATTCCACAAAGGTGGCATTTACAGGAACTTCAATATCAGGTAAGGAATGACACAGGGGTAAACAAATCATCTGAAAGAAAACAGAAAACGCATTTTTTTCACAAATGCATTACTGTCAGTATCTTGTATGGCCTCCATTGCTCTGAATACAGGCTTGGACACGTCGCCGCACGGAGTTAACAAGATCCCTGATGACGTCATTGGGGATGGCTCGCCATTCTTCCAACAGTGCCTGAATCAACGTTTGACGACTTGACGGAGGGGGATTTCTTTCCCTTATTTGTCTGTCCAGATAGTCCCACAAGTGCTCAATGGGTGTTAAGTCAGGCGATCTTACTGGCCATTGCAAAAGGTTTACATTATTTGCAGTTAGGAAGTCTCTGGTGATCCTGGCGGTGTGGGGGCGAGCGTTGTCCTGTACGAAGATTACTCTGGGATTCTTCTTGGGGAAGGGAAGCACCACAGGACGCAATACATGGTCGATGTAGACTTGAGCATTTAAATTACGGTCAAAGACAACCAGGTCTGTTGTACGGTTCCTGCAAATCCCACCCCAGACCATGACGCTTCCACCACCGAATGGCACGGTCTCCTGAACACAACATTGGGCTGTTCTCTCTCCCCTCCGACGATACAAACGCACACGGCCATCAGCTCGATACAACTGGAACCTGCTCTAATCGGAGAATAGAATTCGTTGCCAGTTCCTGTTTTGCCACCGCTGTACCATTCTTGCCCAATGGAGGCGGTTACGTCGGTCACGACGGCTCAAGGTCATCCCGCGAAAGGGCCGGTAGGCCCGAATACCGTGTTGTCGAAGACGCCTGGCAACTGTCCTTCTGCTGACCACATGATGTAAGGCTGTGGCTGCCGATGACGTCACAGTGACGAAACGATTGCGTAGATGTAAGATGCGGAGGTACCGATCTTCATTGTACGACCTGTTTGTGTGAGTCGTGTCTGCAGCCTCGTTATCGTTGTTCTGGTGCAGTTGAAGATGCGAGCAACATGGGCATGGCGTGCTCCCAACTGCAACATCCCAATTGCTCTCTCTCGCTCTTGTGCGGTCAGTCTCGGCATGTCAGCTGTTGTGGTCGGTACGATTGTGGTGTAAAACATACAGATTGGCGGATTTTATGCCGTTCCGAGCCATTTTGTCGTGATGCACGTGCATCACATTTTGAATGAAAAAAGTTGGATAAACTCCATATTCGGGAAGAAGCAGGATTTTTAAAACTCAGTAATGATGAAGCTGCGTTCATGCGATTTTGTTTGACAATGAAAACTCCAGTTCAGTGCTGATGTGATATTTTTTAAATAAAAAATACTTTGGTATAGTTTCTTTTACCCGTCAGTTTATGTTTCACATTTACTGGGTATAGCTCCAACTACCTGCACAGATGCACATTGTGTGTTATCAGATTTGGGGGTCTTGTTGATTTTTCGATGCCTGGACATTTCGTTTGGAACCGTCAGGTTAAACGGAGATACAAAGGAAGAATGTTCCTCTCATCGAATACATAATAACACCCGCCAATCTGAAAGAAACAGTGTTTATCGTCATTGTAAATACGAAGCGTTTTAGATGATTTGCCTTTGCATTCTCTGCTCTATTTGTACGTAACGGTTGGTAAATTCACATCACATCACTCTGGAATAAAATTGCGTCATACTCCAGTGACGCTGTAGTACTACCGTTACCGCTGTCAACACTATCACCACTCTCGCACCTCTACTACCTCTAACACGGAAATAGTTACATGTTCTGTTGTAGTTACATTCTCTGACACAGAAATAGTCATATATTATGTTCTTCTGTAGTATATTTCTCTCCGACGAAAATATTCGTATGTTCTTCTGTAGTATATTTCTCTCCGACGAAAATATTCGTATGTTCTTCTGTAGTATAATTCTCTCCGACGAAAATATTCGTTTGTTCTTCTGTAGTATATTTCTCTCCGACGAAAATATTCGTATGTTCTTCTGTAGTATAATTCTCTCCGACGAAAATATTCATATGTTCTTCTGTAGAATATTTCTCTCCGACGAAAATATTCGTATGTTCTTCTGTAGTATAATTCTCTCCGACGGAAATATGCATATGTTCTTCTGTAGTATAATTCTCTATGGCTAAAATATTCGTATGTTCTTCTGTAGTATAATTCTCTCCGACGAAAATATTCGTATGTTCTTCTGTAGTATAATTCTCTCCGACGAAAATATGCATATGTTCTTCTGTAGTATAATTCATTACGGCGAAAATATTCGTATGGTCTTCTGTAGTATAATTCTCTCCGACGAAAATATTCGTATGTTCTTCTGTAGTATAATTCTCTCCGACGAAAATATTCGTATGTTCTTCTGTAGTATAATTCTCTCCGAAGAAAATATTCGTATGTTCTTCTGTAGTATATTTCTCTCAGACGGAAATATTCGTATGTTCAGTGTTCCCGTTTACTAGTAATTGCCAGTTTTTGTAAAGTTAGGCCTGGACCGGCCAAACATGTGATTGTCAGTCCCTGTTGTCCAGCAAATAAAGTACCTTCTTAATCTTTTTGTTGAACAAAACATCTGCTTATAATCCAATATGTATATTTTTCGAACGAAATCGCGACGCCTTTTATCATCAGGGTTTTCCGTTGTCTATTTGTAGTGAAAGGAAAAAATAGCTTTGCTTCAAGGTTATATATCTATTTGTAATGACTTAGTCTCGACCCAAAGTGAAACATTCCGAAAAAAGTTAAGATAGTGGCTGAACTGTGTGTGAATGACGTGTAGATTTAAATAAGTTACTTCAGAGATGACGTCACTGAAATTGGCAGCCATGAACACACACTGCATTCGACATCATGTTGAAAGTAGTAAAACCAGGTACATTTTCATACGCTTGTTTTATTTGTTAGTTGAGAAGGATAAAAAATGCCCCGATTAGGTTTCTAGGTTTGTCAGCACCATACCCGTGCTCGTGGGTTTCACCGAAGTGGGAAACGTCTAAGACCTGCATCACTTCGGGCATTCCTCCCGCATTAAGCTGACACGCCGTGATGTAACTGGAATACTGTTAAAAGCGGCGTTAAACACAACTCACTCACTGATAAAAATTGAGGGGCTGGTAATATTTAAAGTTGCAAATCCACCGAGACTGGCAGTTTCAAACGCCATCAGGAAGAGGGCTGTTCTGCTGTAAAGGATGGAACAGAGATGTAGTAATAGGTTTTGCTGTTGTGTAAGTCTCTCTGATGGAGGTACTTTTGTTTCCCAGATTCACAAAGAAGTTGGGGTCCGCCACAAGGCATACTGGTGCATCAAGGAATGGCACCCGCCCATGTTCAGCATCCTGTTTGAGATGTACATGTTCATCATGATGTTCTTCGTCCCCATCTGCTTCATGGTGGTCGCCTACTCCTTCATCTGTGTGGAGGTCTGGAAGGTGGCCGGCATGCGGGCGAGCATGAGGTCTGGAAGGTGAGTTGGGTGGAGGTCTGGAAGGTGAGTTGGGTGAAGGTCTGGAAGGTGGCCGGCATGAGGTCTGGGAGGTGAGTTGTGTGGAGGTCTGGAAGGATAGTTGTGTGGAGGTCTGGAAGGTGAGTTGTGTGGAGGTCTGGAAAGTGAGTTGTGTGGAGGTCTTGAAGGTGAGTTGTATGGAGGTCTTGAAGGTGAGTTGGGTGGAGGTCTGGAAAGTGAGTTGTGTGGAGGTCTGGAAGGTGAGTTGTGTGGAGGTCTGGAAGGTGAGTTGTGTGGAGATTTGGAAGGTGAGTTGTCGTCTGTGTAGAGGTCTGTAAGGTTAGTTGGTGTCTGCGTGAAGGTCTGGAAAGTGAGTTGGTGTTTGTGTGGAGGTCTGGAAGGTGAGTTGGTGTCTGTGTAGAGGTCTGTAAGGTTAGTTGGTGTCTGCGTGAAGGTCTGGAAGGTGTGTTGGTGTCTGTGTGGAGGTCTGGAAGGTGTGATGGTGTCTGTGTGGAGGTCTGCATGGTGAGTTGGTGTCTGTGTGGAGGTCTGGAATGTTGGTTTGTATCTGTGCGCAGAACTGGAAGGTGTGTTGGTGTCTGTGTGGAGGTCTGTAAGGTGTGTTGGTGTCTGTGTGGAGGTATGGAAGGTGTGTTGGTGACTGTGTGGAGGTCTGCATGGAGAGTTGGTGTCTGAGTGGAGATCTGGAATGTTAGTTTGTATCTGTGCGCAGAACTGGAAGGTGTGTTGGTGTCTGTGTGGAGGTCTGTAAGGTGTGTTGGTGTTTGTGTGGAGGTCTGGAAGGTGTGTTGGTGTCTGTGTGGAGGTCTGGAAGGTGTGATGGTGTCTGTGTGGAGGTCTGCATGGTGAGTTGGTGTCTGTGTGGAGGTCTGGAATGTTGGTTTGTATCTGTGCGCAGAACTGGAAGGTGTGTTGGTGTCTGTGTGGAGGTCTGTAAGGTGTGTTGGTGTCTGTGTGGAGGTATGGAAGGTGTGTTGGTGACTGTGTGGAGGTCTGCATGGAGAGTTGGTGTCTGAGTGGAGATCTGGAATGTTAGTTTGTATCTGTGCGCAGAACTGGAAGGTGTGTTGGTGTCTGTGTGGAGGTCTGGAAGGTGTGTTGGTGTCTGTGTGGAGGTCTGGAAAGTGAGCTGGTGTCTGTGTGGAGGTCTGGAAGGAGAATTGATGTCTGTGTGTGTGTGTGGAGGCCTGAGTGATATGGATGCATGTTGTAAAAGAAATCTAAACTCTTCACTCAGCTGCCACAATCACGTATAAAATAGTACTTGTTTAGTTGATCCCCTTATCTGTCTCAGTTGATAAGGCATATCAAGGATGCTCACTGTACTAGTCATATCTCTGTAGCCTGCCGTCACCTCTGATTTGTTTGTTTGTTGTTTAACGCCGCACTCAGCAATATTCAAGCTATAGGACGGCGGTCTGTAAATAATCGAGTCTGGACAAGACAATCCAGTGATTGATATAATGAGCATCGATCCACGCAATTGGGATACGATGACATGCATCAACCAATTCAGCGAACCTGACCAACCGATCTCGTTAGTCGCCTCTTACGACAAGCATAGTCGCCTTTTATGGCAAGCATGGGTTGCTGAAGATCTATTCTACCTCGGGTCATCACGTGTCTCAACACCCCTGAACATACATTGTCAAGTTACGAGTAAAACCTTTCCTTACATAGGACTAGTGACCCTGCTGTATTTCAGCGATCATCCTGACGCTTCTTTCCGCTTCTAGGGTCATCTCGTCGGCGCCATGTCAGTTCCGCAGCAATGGCGTCCGATGGGAGAACCATGACGCCACCACCCCGCTCACTAGCCACGGCATCCACAAACCAAAGAAGACATTCTCAGATGACAATGTGGTCAGAAAGCAGGTAGGACTATCACCATTACTCCATGTCAATTCCAATAATGTATTTGTTTTATTGAAAGAACATTGGCCCACAGTGTCCATGTCAATAGTGATCATTGTTTTACATGATTGTGTAGAACATTCTGTTCTGTTCAGCATTGCATGATGGACAGATATGGAATTCGTAGTTCGATAGTATCCGTTGTCTAGTAGATAGAACGTCTGCCGGAGAGCGGAAGGTCGGTGGTTCGATCCCCGATCACGTCATATCAAAAGATAATATATATAGGTATAAGATATAAATATAAATATTATAAATATTTAAATATTAATGGAATTGAAAGTCGCGTTGCAATGTAAACTTTCAAAACAGAAATGAATTAGGTATAATAGCTCAAGCAACACTGTTTTGAACGCATTGCATAAACGCAACGGTGTCTTCTCAGGCACATTTTGCACATGCAATATAACACGAATGAAAACTCGCGTGCATTTTTTGTCATCTTTGTCCGTTGTAAGCCACTGAAATTGAAAAACATAATCAGTTGAATCTGAGACTTCAGTCGGTTTAAGAAGCATCCCGAATCACCAAAATACAGATAGGAATAGCCATCGGCATGTTGCAAGCCGGATCAACGCCTGAACCACCATGGCCACCATCACAAGACTCAAAACTCGTCAACAACAGACACGCAGTGTCCAGGAGAGCAGCCGTTCCCGGTGGCCAAGGATAACAACTGCAGCTTAAGATCGACACATCCGGATGACACTTATCAGAATCCGACAGCTGCCAGTCTCCAAGGTCCACATGGTCCAGTGTCATCCAACACCATTCGTCATCCTCTGAGAGCAGCAGGGATCCAGTGTCGGCGCCCTTATTTTGGCCCAATACTTCTTACTCTTCGGCACCTCCAGCAACGTCTGCAGTGGGCCCAACAGCATCGACATTGGCGACGTAACAGTGGCGTCTCTCAGATACATCAAGATTCCACCTGTCAAACGCCGATGGGCGCATTGTATGGAGAGGAGGGAGAGACGTGGTGTGGGGAGGATTTAGATTTCATCAAAGGACGCCTGCACACGTCTTCCGTCAACGTGTGACAGCAATGGTCTATAGCGATAACGTTCTTCGACGTTGTGTTAGACCCCGTAGCTGATCCTCAACTATTCGTAGCTCGTCCTCAACTCCTAGTGTTCCAGGAGGACTTTTGCTGTTCAATACGTTCCTCTTTCTCTTATATCCTTTCTTTTATACCCTTTCTTTTCTTTCCATTCCTACTTGTACTATTTCGACTGAAAGTTTATGAAAACTATATTAAGTGGGTTCTTCAGACTCGAAAATAATGCAAATTATAATCAGGCGCCGTTCTAGTAGATTTATACTGGACATAAGTGGTATTGGTAAAACGCGATCACGTGATGGTCGCAATAACAGGATGATCACAGTGAGAAGTATTTTGATGGGGAGGTGAGGCTAGATGAAATTAGGTTTAACGTCGCGCCATAGATTATTGCGCTTAAATAACGACGTGCGTGCGTGCGTGCGTGCGTGCGTGTGGGTGTGTGTCTGTGGCTGCTTGTACCTGTCATGAATAATATCGCAACCCCCTCAGATACTATGCCGCTTTTTAACATGCATACTCAACCCAGACACAGTATACTGGCGCTGCCCAGTCCTTTTCTTATCCCCTTATAGCAGAGCGCCAGGCATGGTAACAACAAGCACAATCATTTAACGTTTTTGATATGATGCGGCCGGGGATCGAACCCCGACGTCCATCTGTCCGAACAGATTTTCTACCCACTACACCACGTAGTCGCTCCACTTGAAGAAAGAACCATCGACTTAGTGGCACCGTTCCCCGGCAACGTGAATGGTTGCTCTCCATATCGACCACGTGGTCAATGCAAGCAAATCTCTGCAAGTAAACGTGATATCATTTAGGAACTGACCATTTCATATTGTGGCGTGATGCGTTCGGGAGCCACGGACTTTGCGAAAACAATAATATGGTCCAATTTTTTTTAAAACGTTAGCCTCAGGTCGTAAGAAACTTTCTTCTCTCTGCGTCTTGTAACGGCAGTCATTTTCAAAGTAATGCTCATGGTATCGATTCTATTCAGTGTCGTTCTTTCAGCAACGATGGCTAATGATTGATAATAGAAATGGTTTTGCAGTAAAAATTAAATATAAATGGCTTGTTCATTTCATCAGGCAGGTGATGCAATAGAAAAACACGTCGATCTGGCTTTTTACACAGGGCTTGACGCTTCTCTGTTACAGCCGCTCTTTAAAAAAAATAACTTTTCCTGACTTTGCATTTGTTTCTGTGCACATTGATTATATCGAGCTGAGGGAACCTCGCATTTCACGCTTGTAGCTATAATCAGACGACAACTTCGATTCGCTGTAACCATCTCCTAAATTCACCATCCATGCAGACATTTGGGCATAAATACTGTGTCCACGTGACATTAACCGGAAGTTAATTACCCTGTTTGACACTGTACTTCGTGGCCATTAGGAACCAACCCGAAGTGGCGCCCTGGCCTCTTCATTAGGCTGGTCGCAAAGTACGACCGTGAAGTGATTGTGATGTCGGTAAATCGTTGTAGCCGATACACCGTTCATCTAGCGGAGGCCCTCATCTCTACAAATTGTCCTTTATCCTTCATTGAAAGGCTGAGTAAATAGCTCTAACTCCATTGAAGTTGTCAAGAGTGAGTTGGGTTTCACGCTGCTTTGAACAGTAGTCACGTCACATCACGGCGTATCAGCTTAATGTGGGAGGAAAGCCCGACGTGATGCGACCCCAGCTCTTTACCATTTTGGTGAAAGCCAAGAGAACAGTTATGGTGCTGACAAACCCCGAAATATAAACAACCAGGATTCGAACCTACAGTCATATGTTTCTGGTGTGCCCAAGGGACGCAACTCTGTACAGCGCATTGCGGCGCCTTAGGCGCCCCGGAAGTTGTCGTGAGATTGCCATAAATTTTTAATTGTTTTCCTAGCATCGGAGATGCCAGAGGAGTGGGCCAGTGAATTCTGTTAAACAAAAGGCACAAAACCCTTTCCATATCTATAAGAAATTTCTACTCAAAGCAGGGGAAGACGACTGCGACAATATCATATACATGTTTATGCTATGTTTATACCAGGATTTCGCGAAAAGGTGAGCGTATACTGCTCCACCGGTGGCATACGTCACAAACACATGCAAAGACAAGTCAATTGTTCTGACAAAACACGGCAACACATGGTACAGGTCAGATTAGGGAATTGCATCGGACATACTCATGGAAACTTTAGGGTAGTCATCGAACTACTATCCCAAGCCCTGCTTAATCCTGTCTGTCATTCAGCCCTATATGATAACGGCCTACATTACTTCACCCAGTCTGTCATTCAGCCCTATATGATAACGGCCTACATCACTTCACCCAGTCTGTCATTCAGCCCTATATGATAACGGCCTACATCACTTCACCCAGTCTGTCATTCAGCCCTATATGATAACGGCCTACAACACTTCACCCAGTCTGTCATTCAGCCCTATATGATAACGGCCTACATCACTTCACCCAGTCTGTCATTCAGCCCCATGTGATAACGGCCTACATTACTTCACCCAGTCTGTCATTCAGCCCTATATGAAAACGGCCTACAACACACCCAGTCTGTCATTCAGCCCTATATGATAACGGCCTACAACACTTCACCCAGTCTGTCATTAAGCCTTGTATGATAACGGCCTACAACACTTCACCCAGTCTGTCATTAAGCCCTATGTGAATACGGTCTACAACACTTCACCCAGTCTGTCATTAAGCCTTGTATGATAACGGCCTGCAACACTTCACCCAGTCTGTCATTAAGCCTTGTATGATAACGGCCTACAACACTTCACCCAGTCTGTCATTAAGCCTTGTATGATAACGGCCTACAACACTACACCCAGTCTGTCATTCAGCCCTATATGATAACGGCCTGCAACACTTCACCCAGTCTGTCATAAAACTGTTTGAAACGCCGTTGTGACACGCTGACACGCTATCAACTCATGGAACTTGACCAACTGATCAATTGTCTGCTCACACAACAAGTCTAGATTGTTGGGCTCTAATTCTAACCGGGAATGTAATGGCTAAAACGGTAGCCTAGTGTTCGCACTGCACACAGAATGCCATGGTTCGATTCCCATCGTGGGTACAATGTATGAAGCACATTTCTTGTGTGCCCGGCTTGATATTCTTGGAATATTGCTACGGGGTAAAATCAAATTCACTTTACAGTAATATACTGAACACCATCTAGCCTTCTACGAAGGGCATTTACCAGGAGAAAACTGATGCATAAAGAACAACATTCATTAGGTCCAAACAGGATATGTTTTAATCTGTTCAGCCCCAGACCTGCTTATATACATGATGACACTCTGTATACACCCAATGATGAATGACAACCTTATCGGTGACATCTTATCTGAAGTGTGGACAACGTTGTTAGTGTACCTCTCTGCAGGATGCTGTCAAAGTCTTTTTTCCGCAGTCATATATTAAAATCCTGACACGATAAAAGCAAGTATATTTCATTATGAAGTCAGGACCTAAATCTTTTTTTGAATCATCACGGCAATGCTGGATTGGTGGAATATATCCCCAAAATGCTACAAGAGGGGAATAGTAGAATATCTTTAAACGGTGTTGAAGCTATTTTGAAGCTATGGTATCAGTGAAAATAGGATCGATGACATCGTGTATAGAATGAAGTTATGGTCTATAATAGAATATTTTCATAAGAAATCTATGTCAAAAGCAGAGTCGATATTATAATTCCGACTTTATCACCAGCATGCGTTTATGAATCATTATCAAATAGTGATGATACCAGGTGCTCTCGAAAATGTGAACGTGTCCTGTCCCACCGGTGGCACCCGTCACAAACACATGCAAAGGCTGGTCACTTGTTCACCTGAAATAAAACACGCGAACTCATGGTACAAGTCATAATAATGAATT